AATGTGAATTTTAACGAAGCTATTGAGAACAATGAAAATAAAACGAGCGAGATATTTGTACGAATGTAGAATAAGCTACAGAAATTTTTAATATATTATTTATGAAACATTTTTTGAACTTTTTGCGTTTTCTTTATAGCCTATTTATCTGTAAGTAAGCAGTGGCAGATATAAGGGGCACTATAGGGGCTTAAGCTTTCTCTATTGACACAAAAAAATATAATAATTTATTTGTTTGAACTTTTACTTTTAAAACCCTTTATAATGACAAATATGGTTGTCCGACCGTTGGCAATACAGTCGTCGTACAGGTGTTAATAAAAAGTACTTAATTATTCAAGTACTGTATTTTAAATTTTTGAGTTAGTTTTTACCTTTGGGCATTAGTAATGGATCTGCCACTTTAAGTTAACATATATTCTTAATAGTTTCGTAACATTCATATGTATTTATAAGGTTTCGCCGTTTGTTATGCGTATTATGAGAATAAAGTAAAACTCAGGTCAAAATCTAACCATGGAATTAATAATTATCGCTATTATGTATACAATGAAGCATCGAAAATCCGGAGACCCATCCGGATTTTCAATTTGTCCAGATTTTAAAATAATACGTGTTAATTAACATTTTAAGTACTATGAACTCCAGATACACTGTAATTCAAGTTTATATGTTCAAAGTTCAAGCCAGTATTTCACATGAATGTAGGTATACTTACAAATATTCAAAGTATAATTTACAGAATTACTATATTCAAACAAAGAAGATACATTAATTATAATTTCAAAATTAAAAAATTACGAATTTTAAATGAATGCTTGAACATCATCAACGAAATTACCATTGATATGGCTCACATTTCAGCTTAGAAAATACATAATTTTAAAACATGGTAGAAATGTGTCGAACAAACTAAATTTAGTTCGAATGTATTTCTAAATTTGTTGATATTTTTTTTCAGTTGTATAAGAAGAATTGCCAATTGTTTTAAAACCCAAATGTGCGGTAATTACTATTTTGGATGATCAAGTAATTCTTATAAATTTAATAAATTATAAATTATTACAATGTTTTGAAAAATGTTTATTGGAAATGCAGTATAGTTATGAGAGATTTTTAATGGCATTTGAAGATTTTCGATTGAATTTTTTAATGGAGCAGAGAACAGATTATACGGTATTAAGAATAACATTCAGAAATAGATTGTGGGAATTCGGAAATATTGTGCTTTCTTATGAAATTAATGGATTTCAGATTTATTTTGTTTATAAAAAGTATATGACCATTCTTTATTTTTATTAGAAAAGAAAATACCTAAAAATAATAAATTTATAAGTGCTGATGTAGAACATTTTGACTAATTGTCACATATTAGGTTCGTTATATCGGATATGAGTGATATATTAAGGTAGAGTTAAATGAAGACATGAGAAACTATATTCAAAATCTAGACATTTAATAATAGAAAATTATATCCTGTAGTTATAATTACAGTTTCCAGTGGAAATTTTCTACTTCTCGCAAAACTAAATTATGCATTCTGACCACATAATTAACTTCTATAACATACAAAGTTTACACTGTATTTTATAAGTGTTTTTTCCTGTAACACACTAACACTCTTTCTTAGACTAGTTTATCTGTTAATCTGTATACAGGGGCTAAACTTATATCGATTTTCCTTAATCGTCTCCAGTTGATGATTAGGTCTACAGTGCTTTTAGAGAACAAGAATTAAAAATTTTGTTAATATCTCTGAATAGGTAAAACCAAGATAAGATTATGAGTTATAACTTCAGTAGTAGTAATAAGTAGTAAAATTGTTTTTTCTGTGTATATATTATTAATTTATAGAAAAAATTATTGTTGTTCCGGAAAAAATATGATGCAAAATAAAATTAATTTATTCAGATAAAGCAGGATAGAGATTTACGAGTATTATATAGATTATTTCTGGGTTTGTAGAGTATTTATTTCATATTATTTATTGCTTTATTTTAAAGTTATACAATAAAATATCGATGGGATGTTGTGAAAAGAGGTAATTATTTTCTTAGACCATTTAAAAAAATAATTGAAGAGACTGAAACAGGTTAGGTGAATATATGTAGACTTCAACGAGGTAATATTATGAATGGTAGAAATTTAAAAGAATACCAAATAACATGTATATGAGAATGATTGTGGAGATTTAACAAACTTTCCATATTTCTCAAGACGTAAGTTACTAAACTAATGAATGATAGTTTAATTAAAACTTTATTTTTCTCTCAGTTTGGGCATTTTCGAATATGTAACCACTTTAAGAAAGAATGAAATAAAAGAAAATGTCAATCGTACTGTAATTTCATCATACAACTCGACTTTTCTAGAAGTATATCATTAGCCTCCAATATTAATCATTATAAAAGTCAAGAAATTCAACTTTTAAGATCTAATTGAATAAATTAGTTCATAAACAATGCGACAAAGAGATTTTGTACAAATATTCTTTCACTAAATTTTAATTTTCTTTCAAGTTTTTCAAAAAGATGCACAGATACAACTTGCTAATCAGAAATTTACAAAGAGAAATAATTCTTAATTATCTTTGCTAAATTAAAAAAGAAACACTGCTTGTTCTAGGAAAATATACACTTCTGTAAAAGAAGGAAAAAGAGATTAGAAATACAAGTTTATAAATATATAATTAACCTGTTACAAACAAAACTGGAAACGTGAAAATGAAGAATGACTTTGTCAACAGTTAAACATAACTGGTATAGAATGCACTTTTTGCGAAGACATCCGAAAGAATGTGTTTAAATTTAATAAAAATTACTTCCTATAAAAACTAGACAAGATAGAGTTTTGACAGATATACTTTACAATTATTTTTCAATTAAAAATGACGTGAATAAAGATGATAGAAAAGCCGAAATACCATTATATAGCTGAACTATTTCCTCATCTCTGCTTGTTTTTTTAGAGAGAATCCTGGCATAAAATATTTAAACGTTTTACGTTTTAAAAATTTTACATAATTCTGTTCATGAAAGAAGAAAGAATTCAGAAAATATGATATATTTTTGTCTCATTTTTATGGACAAAATATAGCTGTAAGTTGGCAGCTTAAAAGTATATAATTTTTTTATAATGGATGATTATTAAAAACGTTTCCTGAAAGAAATTGTTGTTTTAAAATTATATAGCCTATAAATAGCCTGTTTACAGTAATATATATTTTTTTTCTTTCATCGTGAATTGATGAGTATAAATTACTGTCATTACGTTCATTTTGATTGAAACAAGTTTTACATAAGGAAAGAATTAGAAGGATTTGTAATCTATATAGGGCTTATAACAAATATAATGTCTTTCCATATTTTACAGAACGTGTTAAAGTAATCTGTCAGTGATAGTTTACTTGGAAGTTTTTTTTCCTCTCTCTCATTTGAGAGGTATTCAAGTATTACATAAGCATTTGACAAGGAGAGGAGGTGAAAGAAAAGTTTACTTATATAGAGAAGGGGAAGTCAATGCTTGCATAAGATCTTTTTGAACTTTTTAAACATATTCAAGTTTGTTTTTTTATATAAATTTATTAATAAAAACAATTTTTAACACAAAGTAATTAAAATTTAATTAAGGTAAGAAGATAATATAGTCTTTTATCATAATAACTTGAAAGTTGTAATTCTACCAATTACTTGCACTCTGCTTAAGTAAAAACATTTTTTAAAGATCTTTAAAAGTTGTTATAATTATTCAAGTTGTATGTAGTGTTAAAAAATAATAATAATTTAAACGATCCTAAATTTATAGGAATTATTGTATTTTATTTGTTTCTTACTTTATTATCAAAGTCGCATTGGTGTTTTTGTTTTTATATTAAATTAGTACTACAAGATCTGTTGTACTAAATTACTTCTTTATCGTAATAAACGTAGAAAGAAGTTTATAGGAGAAACAGAGAGAAAGAGAAGAGATCAATATAATACTTAATATTGTTTATATGGAGGAGAAGAGAATGCTTACGTAAGACTTAAATGTCTCGTAGATTTTTCACAAGAAATATTTCTGATTTAAAAATGATTTTAAATTTTAATCGAAAAGATTTTAAGACATAATTTTTAAATTAGAATATTAATGAATTCAATACAAAAAGAAACATTCCATCATAAATATATAATAGTTTTATATAACAACAGATAATTTCTTTTTAAACAAGAACAAAGGAATGAAAACAAATATAAGTTTTAAGAATAGGATCGCAATTACGAGTCATTATAAGTTGCTACAGCTTCATATTAAATACTCATTGGGATCACGTCAATAATGGAAGTAGAAGATCGTTTTTGGATTATAGAAAGCTAAAAAGAAGATTGCTATCTGTCCATTACATAAATTGAAATCTCGATTCAGCTACTCAAAGTATTTTTGGATCTTCCAGTAATGATACCTATTCAAGTAAGTTTACCGTGTAGAAAAAATGAGCAAATGTAAATCTATGTTGTCTTCACTAACATTTCAATGTTGATACATTTCGAAAGCTTAAAGCAACAAAATTCGGAGATTTAGAATTTATATAAATATATAAATACAGTATATAAATTTCTATTGATTTTTAAATATTTATCTTGAATAGCTTCTGAAATTTTAATATTAAACTTTTAAAAATATTGAATTAATATAGAATAAAATTATAAATTTTATTTTCTTATAAGCATAAATCTTATTTTATAAAAGGGAATGAAATGTGCTTATTAAAGAAATTAAAAAATTACTTAGAATTGCGCTCTAGAATATAAAAAACGTTTTAAAACAATGATTTAAAGTGAATTGTATTTATTTTACGGCCATGAAATACAATTCGTGTATTTTTATGATGAATATTTATATAATTTGTTCATATAAATCTATGTTATAAGATCAATATTTTGCTGTTTTTAACTTTGAAGGTTCCTAAATCAAAATCATTGGCATTTTACAATAATTTATCGTTTTGTTGAATATTTCAGTTGAGAAATGAAGAGAGGCCAAACGGTAAAGAAATAATTAATGATCAGTATTTGGAAAATGAACCGAACTCGTAAACACATTCATTAATTTATAAGAGCGTAGTAGTAAAAAATTTAAATAAAAATTAAGCTGACTGTGACATTTTTCTGCCATGTGATTAAGCAGAAAAGAGAGAATAATATCTTGTTATTAAATAAAATAAAAGTTTATTTTATATTAATTTAAGAATGTTTGTTTATTTTTTAAGTACTCCTACATATTATTTTTGCGGACAGATTTTTCAGCATCATAATTGAGTACACAGATCAGGGGTGAAAAAATCTGTAACGCTTAAGTAAGCTGAAACGTTCATGTTAAAAGCATTAAAGCGGTAATTACACGAATGTTTTCTTGGCATTTTCTTTGGATACGTGGCCAAAATTGTTATATATATTAATCATTTTAAAAAAGATAAAAATCAGGAGAGAATTATTGATTTTTTTTTTAAATCTAGAACGTACGTTTATTGGATTTCTATAGCGAATTTTATTGGATAGAGTGCTTGTTGATTCTTATCTTGGTTTAATCTCTTGAATGGCAAGAGTTAAAAAAAAAAAAAAAAAAGAAAGATAAATCAAAATAAACAATGTAGGCTATTAGAAAAATAAATAATCGCGTTTATAAATTTAATTTCGAAATTAAATAAATAACTTGATAATTCTGTATAAATCGATTAGATTTAAATAAACAAAATCCTACATTTAGCGCTGAACTAAATGGAATTATGTCGGAATGACTTGATTTACATTTTTAAATATAGAATTTAACTAAATTCTTGTTACAAAAATAACTCAATTCTGTTAATATCTGGAATTTATTTTTTCTCATTTATATTTTAATTTAAAAAAATAAACTTCCTTAATCATATTCCAGGAGGAATGCATAAAACATAAGCTCTGCTCTGTTTATGTAACGTTATTCAATTTTTAAAATTCTAAAATATTTATTCTGGAAAAAAATAATATAAAATTCTTTCTTTAAAAAAAAAATAACAGCAAAGTTTATCTTGATGTTAAATAAAATATTGAATGAAGGATTTTATTATTTTTTTTCCCCGATTATAAAATTTTATTGTCTTCTTTAATTACTCTTTTAATGTATAAAGTTTTAGAAATATTCGTGGCTCAGTTTTCATAACCTGATTCTACTTTAAACAACTTATCGATTGGGATTCAAAGCTGGAACCTTGAAAATTATTTAAAAAATGTATTATCTGTTGCACTACTTTAGCATGAGTGAAATATGTTCTTGGGTGAAGCTAACTTTTTATATTAGCACTTTCTGTGATTTTGGTTTATCCTTCACATCCCAATGGAAGCGATGAAAGACGAACTCAATATTACTTCCTGTTGTGAATTTGCTTGAAGTTACACAGATGCTAATACTCGAATTCATTCATTCGAAAACATGTTTTTGTTTACTTAACGCTAATTCTGCTCCTTTTTAAAATCGTATAAATATTAAATACGCTTTAAAAATTGCGTTATACGAGTTAGAAATTTTAATTTTTATATAATATTTAAGTATATATCGATTTATTATTATTATTATTATTAAACTCTTAAATAAACAGGTAACCTTGTAGATTTTTAACATATTCGACAATCGATTGATTCGTTCCTCTTTTAAATATAATATATTTAATTATATTGTAATGATTAATCAAGAAGAAAATAATAATTAATTTTAGAAAAAGTTGTAGATGTCTACAAATCAAGGGTAATTAGAATTATTCATTCATTCATTTGAAAAGTTTGAAACTTTTCAAGAGTTGCCAAGGATTTTTTTTTAACTTTATGTACCGGTTTTGATAATTATTAATGTTATCGTGCTAGGAATCGAATCGATAGTAATCATTTTTCTAATTTATCTCCCTTATTTTGTATTGAATTTCTCAATCCTTGTTCTTCCGGGAATAGTTTTTTTTTTTTTTTTTTAGAATTGAAAGTTAAAATCGTTCGTTAATTATCGAAATTTAGATGTTTTCAAGAATTTTTGTTTCTTCTGAAATCCAATTATTTCTTACTATGATTAGTTTGTTTGCGCATTTTTAAAAAATTATCCGTTCCAGTTTTAGTATACAGTACAGTTTCCTATTGGCTAAACATATTCAAAAACATGACAACAGATTTTTAAAAATATATTTCGTAAATACACCAGCATAATTGTTTATAATTATTTTTCAGTCTAATTTAAAACCCATTCAAACTTTTCGTCTATAAATTTTCTTTATCGTAATAAAATAGACTAAACCTAATTAAATTCGTGAATTTTTGAGTATATAAAGGGGTCTATTTCCAGTTTGAACATCCTTTATGCTGCAAATCTCGTTATCCTTTCGTAGATAGATTATTCTTTGTTGTCAAAGTTTTCATTTTTATGTCAAAAGTGGATAACATTAAAAAAAAAAGAGGCCAAGAGTATTGTGTATGTAGGATAACTATTTTAAATAATCCGGTTTTTCAGATCTTACATTCAACATTTCTGTTACTTCTTATGCAAAACCTATCACGATCTCGCCTGTCATTCATTTTTCAAAAGTAACTACATGAAATATTTTAAATATATGATAAAATACGTGCGTTTTCTTACATCTAAGAGATTAGTCTCTTATATTTTTACATTTAAATTCTATTTTAAGTTGATTAAAAAAACACTAAATAGATAAATTTATTTAGACGAAAATTTGCGTGTATTATTACTTGCGAATGAGATAAAACCTGTATGTGTTAGTGGAAACTCAATTGTAAAATATAGATGAAAAATTTAACTCAATTAATTTACTTAAAACAAATTTCAAAAATTTATAAATTAAATTTCAAAAATCGTACTTTTTATTTGACGTTTTAGATACTTTGACATATGTTGCTATGTAAACAAATTTTACTATTCCATCAAATGTTATCAATAATTTAATCAATGTCCTTCAGATAAACTATATCCTGATGTTTTAATAAGATTAGTAACTCTGTGGAAACAAATGTTTAACATTTGTTTCCGCTAACAGTTCTATATTTAAGTTTGAAAAGAAAATATAAGAGAGAAAAAAGATTTTTCTTTTGTAAAATTGATAATAGAAAAAAACTAGATCTTTCGATGTCGTGAGAATTGAATTACTTTTTAGTTGTGAAAGTAATTTATAAGAAAATCACTAAGTTTTTATTCTAACACAAATAGTAAATTTTTATTTTTCATAATTGAACCTCAATACGTAATATCTTTTTCTTCCAGAGTATAATTTCAAATGTTTTCTTGCGAAATCGTAATATTTTATTTTTTATTAGTTAAATTTATTAATTTTTATTTTAAAAAACACGTTTTAAAATCTATGAATAATGTTAGAAAAGTTTTTTTTCTTGTTATATCTTGCTTTGTATCATTAACTGGGATCATAATTATTCCCAAGAACAGACAACAATAATGAGGGGGGAAAAAAAGTTTTTTTCTTTTTATTTCTAACTACATTTCACTTCATCAAAATTTATATGATAATCATGGAAAGCCATCTTGGACGATTTCCAATAGCTTGTTTCCCTGTTTTGTTTTATCGTAGAAAATACTTACGAACAAAGTCATGCCGTGGTATAAACATTGGCATATTGTTACACGTCCTTCAACGCGTTGAACGATGCCTATATATGTTTATTATTAAATTTTAAAATATTGAAAAGGGGAGCAGTGGGAATTTGGTCTTCACACATCAGTTGTGTTGGGTGCGGTGTCGAGATATTGGCTGACTCACTTTTTCCGGATGCGTGATGAGAAGTGATGCTATATATAAATTCTGCATAGCGTAAATTCTTGGGAAGCCGCTCTCCCACATAGCTCTATGACCAAATGACAGATGTTTCTTGCGTTTTCTCTCTTTACTGACGTCGGAGACAGGTTGGTTGGTGATAGTTGTCACCTACCAAATTGTTTAAATGATATCGCGATATTAGTCAGATGTCTGCTTGGCATTGGATTAAAAAAAAAAAAAAAAAAAATGTNATTAATAAATTTTTGTATATTATTTAAATAATAGAGTTAGAATAATAATGTTTTCTATATAATTTTTAAAAATTTTGATCTTTGCATGGATCTCATCAAGAAAGATACTGATTCAGCAATTTTTGCAGCACAAGAACACTCACAACAAATGTAATTAAAGCTAAGATGCAAAAAATCAGTGAGATCCCCTAGTGTTAATTATGTGAGGAAAAAGATGAAACCATAGATCATCTAGTAAGTGAATGTAGTAAGATTCTTCAGACAGAGTATAAAACTAGATATAACAAGGTGACAAAGTTAATACATTGTAATGTAAAAAGTATGATTTCAACATGGATAAAAATTGATATGAACACACAATTGAAAGATTAGTTCAGATGGTTAAGATTGTGTGGGATTTTAAAGTATAAATAGATAAAAGTTTAGTTCACACTATACCAGATATCATTATATTTGAAAAAAACAAAGTTTTCACCACAGACAATAACTAACCCAGTACATTAAAGTTTCCAAACAAGCTGTCAAATCATTATTGGCCTATTATAAGGCTAGCAAATAGTTAAAGTTAATTTAAATATGATTTAGTAAAAACAAAAATTAATTTCTCTTATACTTTGCACTCATTAGAATATAATATGATTGAAACAGTTAAAAATCATTCAATGTTAAAAAGTCATCTTTCTAGTCTTCAAAATAGTTTTTTCTAATCATATATTAAACATGATTATAATATCTATCATGTATCAGCATAGCAACTTTTGCCATAAAATGCAGCCTTAAAATCATTTGAAATAGCAAATTATTAATAATTCGAAACTAATTACTTGGAATTTTTAATTTTGTTTATAATTTTGCAAGTGATTATGTATGGAGTTTCAAAAATTTAAAATAAAACTTCATTGATTAATGAACTTAATATTCACTGATAAGTAATCTTATTTTATTCTCTTTGATGGCAATGAATACAAATTTTTCATTAATATAAAATTATTTGCATGCAGAATATTTTGTATAACTTAAACTTTATGATAACAAATAAAT